AACTTGGTAGCGAATCTCCTTACCTGCATCCCTTCAACACCGCTGATTCCAACTCCAATGTCCGCAGCCTGGATCATACCGACATCATTTGCACCATCACCAATCCCCAGAGTAACATTCCCTGTCCCCTCTTTGACAAGCATTGTCACCTGCACATCCAATCAAGGCAGGCCGCATAGGTCACATATCCGGTCGACGGAACATGTCACAAACAGCAATGTGACCAGAAGTCCTGCGATGACAAGGCTCATATATCACTCACTTTGCACTTGTATAGTTGCAGCAGGAAACCATTAGTGAGCACTGGGTTCAGGGAGGATGACGAGAAAGAGGGGTTGAAGACACACAAACACACGCACACCCAAACTCAGTTATGATGACAGACGCTCAGAGAAAACGTACCAGCAGCAACTCAATGTAGAACTCGCATACAATGGTCAGAACCAGAATACAACACGAGATGTCACACATAGTGTGCGACCAACAGAAAATGTGTGAACGATATGAATCTAAATGTGCTGGTACCAAGGACCTGCTATAACAAGAAATGTCTGGTGCCCAGCATGAGGTGCAGGGATCGAGCCATCACCAGATCCGTAAAGCTGTTCCCCCTCCAGAAAGGGAACAACCTTCCATGTTGTCGTGGAGGATTCCATCTGATATTTGCACATTTGGAGAGTACGAAGGGCCTTGCTCCATTACTGTCCAAATATGCAAAAACTGAGACTGAATCCTCCGCTACAACATGGAAAGATACATCACCATATTTTTTGTCTTTTGCGATGTGCAGAGTAGTGGAGCGACGCCTCGAATCCAGATGCTTCAAGTCCCCAAGGTTGAATGCGCGTAAGCTGCGCCGCGTGGCAGCTGCTCCGCACATGCGCAAACGACAAAAAATATGGCAATGTATCTTTCCGTGCTCTAACGGAGGATTCAGTCTCATTTTTGCACAGTTGGAGAGTAGGGGAGCGAGGCCCTTTCGTTCGAAGGGCCTCCCTCCACTACTTTCCAAATGTGCAAAAATAGGACCGAATCCTCCGCTACAACATGGAAAGATACATTACCATATCTTCTGTCTTTTGAGCATGTGCATAGTGGAGGGACGCCTCGAATTCAGATGCATCCCATGCCCTGGCAACTTTTCTCTTTTGTCATCCAGATGCGCCTCGTGGCCTGCCAAGTTTCCGCTTTTGCAATTTTTCCTAGGCTGGGCCGTCGCCCGGCCAGGCATGCCCGGGATGGCTGGCCTGGGGCGGATCGCCCGGCAAAACCAGGCAGGTCAAAAGGAGTCCCCCCAAAAACCATAGGATGAGCAGCAGATGGGCCAACAGGTAAGTCCCCAACCCCTCGCCTGACCTCACAGTACTTCAATCGACAGCATGAGGAAAATCGAGAGAGAGAGAGAGAGAGAGAGAGAGAGAGAGAGAGAGAGAGAGAGGTTACTTCCATCGTCGCCTAAGCTTCGCGAGTCTCCAACCCCGCGACTGACCTCACACAACTCCCATCGATACTCTCTCTCTCTCTCTCTCTCTCTGTGCCTGATCCCGATCCTGACTGCCGTCATCCCGATTCCCCCCATCCCAATTCCCCGCCTGCTCCCAATTGCCACGTCCCACGTCGCACTCCTCTCTCTCTCTCTCTCTCTCTCTCTCTCTCTCTCTCTCTCTCTCTCTCTCTCACACACACACCCACACACACACACACACACACACACACACACGCACACACATTCCCACTGCCACGTCGCAGACTGCGGTGTGGCAATCGGGAGCAGGCGGGGAATCGCGATCACCATAGTCGGGATGACCGTAGTCGGGATGACCGTAGTCGGGATGGGCAGGGTGGAGGATCGAC